AAATTTTTTGTTAAACTTAGATTCCAATGATCACAATTGAAATCATATGTCGAATTTTTTAACCATTTTATATCCAAATATTCATAAATATGAACCAATCTACTAAGCCAAGCTCCAAAGCTAAATGGACGGACCAATCCTACGTTTTCTGTGCATGATCCTAATATGTAAACACCTTGGCTTCCTATAATTATTAAAACATATTAACATATTAAACAATGCTAACTGATTAAGGTTAAATGATAAATATTCATATTACAGTCTATTATACCTTTGAATGGAGCCGAGACAGCTGTAAGAGATCGAACCATATCAGGATGAGGTTCATAATGTGATGGGAAAATATCACTTGCGAGTAATTGTTGAAGTTTCCAAATTGTTACACCGCCCTAATGTTTAAAATAAACTATCAGAGAAAGATGACATAAATCAAATAAATGAAAGAAATAAATATGAATAAATGCAGCTTATATGTTACCAATGAATGCCCAAGAAAGTGAAGGGGTTTAGAAACACTCCATTCTGGATATAATCCTAAACCAAATAAAGGTTTCAATTGTGAATTAACTTTAAAATACACCTTATAATGCAACTTAATGCAGCATTTTATTTGATAAATACCTGGATATTCGCGACCATAACGCGAATGACCATATTGTCGGGCATGTTCTTCTCCATAATCGACTATATAATTACGGTAAAAATTAAAATTTGCAACTAACGCAATTTCATATAAAGTCACGTGAAATGAGGTTTTACGTGTTGAATATACCTCTTCCACCTTTAATTTGATAAAAAATCTCAACGGCTCTGTCATGTAGAGAACTTCCACAACCAGGTGATACAAGAATACAACGTCTAACTTTGTGACATGATTTCCATTCATTCTTGTCTTCATTGGCATTATTATTCTGCTTGCAGATCTTTTGATGGTAATATTGGTTTTCACAGGGGCTTGAAAAAAGCGATTGTAATGTACCCCAATAAAAAGGTCTACCTGGGCCCAAAAACCCTTCGACAAAAACTACCGGAATTAAATTCTTTTCTTCGTTAATATTAGTATCATTAGATACCGAATAAGAATTTTTATTTGAGAATTCAGATTGATCGTGGGAATCGTAAACAAAAAATTC